TCTGGAGGTCCTGAGCCTGGGGGTGCTGCGCCTGGGGGCGTTCTTTCTTCCCAGCAGCTGCGTGAGTGGTACTCTCGGTACTGTCGCCGCCGCCGTGGTGCTGTGGGAGCTGGAGGTGCTACTGGAGCTGGAGCTGAGGGCGCTGAGCCTACTGGAGTTGGTGTTGCTGCTGACCCTCGGGTTGGCGCTGGAGGTGCTGGAGCCACTGGTCCTGGAGGTGCTCGTACTGGCGGTACTGGAGCTGCTGGGACTGGGGTGCTACTGGAGCTGCTGGAGCTGGTCCTGCTGGAGGTGCTGCTGGTGCTGCTGGAGGTACTGGAGCTGCTGGAGCTGCTGGTGGTGCTGCTGGTACTGGGGCTGGTGCTGCTGGAGGTACTGGTGCTGCTGGAGGTGCTGCTAGTGCTGGTCCTGCTGGAGGTGCTACTGGTGCTGCTGGAGGTACTGGAGCTGCTGGTGGTGCTGAGCGAGTTGGAGCTGCTGCTGGAGGTTCTGGTGCTGTCTCTGCTGGTTCTGGGGGCACTTCACGGCCACAGCCGTACTTCGTTCCCCTCCTTCAGCAGGTTCTTGGTCAGCCGCCTCCTCCTTGTCCTGCTCCCTCCTTAGAGTGTCCTCCGCCTGTCCAGTCGCTGTCACAGCTACCACCTGCCTCGCCACTCCCTGGTCCTTCTCCCTACAGTGGTCCGACAGGCGGTCTTACGGAGCGTCGTGAGCCTGAGTCTCGTCCTGTGTCGCCTGAGTCTCGGTCTGCGTCACCTGTTCCTGCTGCTCGCACTGGTCGTCGTGTCCCGCGTCAGCGTCCTCCTGCTATCCCAGGCACTCACCAGATGGCGCTTCGTCCTTCCACTGCTCCACAGCGTGTCCCGCTGCCTTCTCCTCCTGCGTCCTCTCTTCCTGCCCTTGCTGACCCGGAGTCTGACTCTCTTCGTGCTGCTAGTCCTACTATCACGCGTCTCCTGGCCACTGCTGTCACTGACCCTTCCTTTGAGTCAGCTGCTGCGTCTGCCTTAGTTGCTGAGCTTGTCGACTTTGCTGCTCACTGTCGTCTATACTACGCTGCGAGTCTTGTTGCTGAATCTGAGTCTGAGTCTGTCTGTCCTCCGTCCGTCGGGGGTGAGTGTGCTCTTGGCACGGACGTCCTTGAGGACAGGCAGGAGGAGTTTGAGTGCTTTGCCGCCGCTGTACCTCATCTCGTGTCCATGCTGATTGCACCTGAGGGAGACCCGGATGCACCAGACATCCCGACCCCGCGCTCTTACGCTGAGGCGATCGCGGGTGAGTACTCCTCTCAGTGGCAGTCAGCCATGGATGCAGAGATGGCATCCTGGAAGTCCACTGGCACTTACGTCGACGAGGTTCCCCCTCCTGGGGCGAACATCGTCAGTGGCATGTGGATTTTCAGGGTGAAGCGGCCGCCAGGTTCTCCGCCTGTCTTCAAGGCTCGTTACGTTGCTCGAGGCTTCAGTCAGCGAGAGGGAGTAGACTTCTTCCAGACCTTCTCCCCCACCCCGAAGATGACCACTCTTCGGGTGCTACTGCACGTTGCCGCTCAGCGTGACTACGAGCTTCACTCTCTTGACTTCAGCACAGCTTTCTTGCAGGGCAGCCTGCACGAGGAGATCTGGCTGCGCCGCCCTCCTGGCTTCACTGGGTCGTTCCCTCCTGGTACCCAGTGGAGCCTCCGGCGGCCGGTCTACGGTCTCCGCCAGGCGCCACGTGAGTGGCACGACACACTGAGGACTACACTTGCGGCTCTTGGGTTCGCGCCTTCTACTGCTGACCCGTCGCTGTTTCTGCGCACCGACACTTCGCTGCCGCCGTTCTACATCCTCGTGTACGTCGACGACTTGGTCTTTGCCACTGCTGACACTGAGGCTCTCGCCCTGGTGAAGTCGGAGTTGCAGAAGAGACACACGTGCATAGACCTGGGTGAACTGCGCAGCTACCTTGGCTTGCAGATCACCCGGGACAGAGCACGCCGCACCATCACACTGACTCAGTCACACATGGTGCAGCAGGTCCTTCAGCGCTTCGGCTTCACCTGGTCCTCGGCACAGGCCACTCCTCTGGCTACAGGTCACTCGCTCTCAGCTCCACCTTCGGACGAGTCCGTAGAGCCGAGTGGTCCTTACCCAGAGCTAGTTGGCTGTCTCATGTACCTGATGACTTGCACTCGTCCTGACCTCGCGTACCCTCTTGGCCTTCTGGCTCGCTACGTGGCTCCTGGTCGGCACCGAAAGGTGCACATGGATGCTGCTAAGAGGGTACTGCGCTACTTGTGCAGTACATCAGGCATGGGACTCGTGCTTGGAGGGAGGAGCTCAGTTGTCCTCACTGGGCACTCAGACGCTTCTTGGGTTGACGACCAGGCTACGCAGCGGTCGTCACAGGGTTACACCTTTAGCCTTGGCTCTGGTTCAGTTTCTTGGCGTTCTACACGTTCGTCTTCAGTTCTCAGCTCCAGTTGTGAGGCTGAGATCTACGCCACAGCCATGGCTGCACAGGAGTTACGCAAGCTCACCTACCTGCTGACTGACTTGGGAGAGCGGCCTCGTTCTCCTCTAGTGCTGTACGTCGACAACAAGGCTACCATTGCCTTGTGTGAGGAGCACAGACTGGAGCACAGAACAAAGCACATCGCTCTGCGTTACTTCCTGGCTCGAGAGTTGCAGCAGCGTGGTCAGCTTCGTCTGCGTTACGTGGCCACTCGGGCCAACACTGCTGATATTTTCACCAAGGCACTTTAGTCTGGTGATCATCAGCGTTTCTGCACTATGATAGGGCTTGTGCCCACTTTTCCTCACTTGCTGTAGGCTTTGCTTGTACTGTGATCTATATATATATATATATATATATATATACATATATATACATACCTGCATGCTTGCTTTGCTAGGTAGAGATCACTGTGCTGTTTGTGTTGCATATATGCCTCTGCATGTGGACTGGCCTTATGGCCCTTTGCTTGTGCTCAGAGTGTGTGGTGACGTTGTGATCCACCCTGAGCTTGCTTTGCCTTTCTTGACTGGTCTTGTGACCCCTTGCTCTCCCCCACTTTGCCTATGGGGGTGTGTCAAATGTTATGTCTACTACAGTTTGTTTAGGCTGTAGTGGGGTAGTTACTATGGGGTACAGTAAGTTTAGGGTTTCCTACTTGTACCCAACTCTTTCCTAGTGCAATCACTCTTGTTCATTCTGACAAGCGCCACTGAGGACCAAGGCCGCCGATGATGACCGTAACGAAGGCGTCTTCTGAAATCGACCCTCCGCACCGAAGGAGTTTGTCGCGCAATTCGCGACAACGGCTGATATATGCCATTCCCTTTTCGCCCGGTTTCATTTCGACTGTTGTCAGTTGCGCCATTAACCGACTTTGATTGACGCTGTCTGTTGCTTGATACAGGTTCTTCAGGTGGTTGTACGCGAGCTCTGCAGAGTTGCCGTATCCCCGGTAAGACCGTATATTCTGCTGCTGATTTGGAGTGATGTTTCTCAGTAGTATTGTGTACGCCATCATTGACTGATACGTGTACTGCTGCTTGTCGTATTGTGTGCCGTGTGTTGGATATGGCAGGGACCCGTCGAAGAAGCCAAGAATCTGCGCGCCTTCCATCATTAATTCGAATTCGAACGACCAGGTAAAGAAGTCCTTCCCGTCGAAAGGCTTTGACATTTGCAGTTTTAAGACGTGCGCGAACGGCGACTGAACTTGAAGTGCGTCCAGTGTCTTCTCTTGTCCAGGTGCAGGCTGCGGTTGTGGCATAAAGCTGATGGAGCCACGCTGGGGCTCGTACGGAGCAAAGGTAGGTTGCTGCTGTTGATTTCTACGTGCGTAGGATGAGCCGTCGAGGCTCATGGGCGTCACGTCGTTGTTGTTGTTGCTGTTGTTTGACTGCGCAGGTGCCGACTGCTGATGTTGTTCGTTGAAGGACATGAAGGAGAAGAACTTCTCCATCATGTCTTGGTTGAAGTCTGCAGGCTTATTCGCAGGAGTTTCAGTGGACCGTGCTGCTGGTCTTGTCGCCGTACCTTGCTCTGTCTGTAGGCCAGAGGCAGGAGGTGGAGTAGGGGTAGTGCCGGGAGAACCATTAGAGGAACTCCTCTCCTTCTGAGTAGCCATGCTTTCTGATGTTGTAGGTGTCTTGATAGTGGAATTTGTCCTGACCGCTCTCATACCATGTTGGGCTGAAAAGGCCCTTAGGATCTTTACAGGACTAAACTCCTGGTAGGACTGATGTAATAGCGGAAGCGTTTAATGAAGAGTTGTGAACCACCTTGCGCTAGTATGTGAGGGCAAAGTAGATTAATTAAAACAAAGAGATACAAGCTTTTATAAGAGTACAAGGGAATATGAAGGTACAACTAATAACTGTTTTGCTGTTGCTGTTGCGGTTCGATACAGTGACGACTCGGGCAACTGCTCAATAGCGAGTCAGTTGTTTGTCCTTGCTGTCGCGCTGTACTTGTCAGGTCAAAGGTCGCTGACCTTTGACTTTCGCGAAACCTCCAGCAGTTGCTCAACCTCCGAGGGTTGACTCGCTGATGCTTCGATATGTTGTGCTTCGCTTCTGACTTGGTGTTTCGACACGACAGGGGCGCTTAAATTAATTGTTTCCAACACTTGCTCGAACATGTTCCATACATGCCTTCGAATTTCGGTTTGACTGGTGGCCTTTCACTTGCATTGCTTACAATTCCTGCATGTGTTTGCTTGTGTGTTCTGACCGCATCATACCGGTACCAATACAAATATCTGCTTTGCCTTTTCAATAAAGTAGGCCACGGAATGCCTGCCTCCGAATGTCGCCTCATGTAGTGACATGGCGAGCAAAATCTTTACGTGCTGCGACTGTGTAACTCCATATATCTTACACTCCTCACTTTCAGAACCTTGTTTAGCTCATATACTTTACAACCTACCCGACTGCAGCTGGCAATTATATGTCTACCATGCAGCTTGCAATCAGCTGCAGTTGTATCTACCATTCAGCTTGCAATCCTGTTCAAACGTCCTTAATAGATAGTCTAAATGTTCTGCACGACTTGACGGCTTCATGCGCCGAGAGGAACAGCCACTCCTCCCCCAGCACCTCTAGAAACCCGGACGCAACAAGTTTGCGCAGCACCATGCGCGAGGGGTTGCTGATGCCCAGCTGCACGCCCTGCTTGGACAGCAGCCCATGCAGCTCCTGCAGCGCGTGCGTGCCCGTCGTGTCTATGTCGGCCACGGGCGTGAAGTCCAACACGAAATGCTGCACAGGGGGGAGAAGGATCCACGCACAGAGATTGGAGGCAGGGGGCAGGGAGCAAGGGCAGGAAGAGGTGAGAAGGGCTGCGCTGGAAGAGTGCTCAGAGAATGCGAGTGCTGAGTTCTTGAGAGACCACATGAGGAGGGAATTGTGAGCACTGAGCTAGTATGGCAACAGAGGGGCGCACCTCGCTGTTGGCACAACAGAGGGGTGAACAGGCGGGCGGGGGAATTCCCAAGGGTGGGGTGCGGGCATCAGTGCGGGGCGAGAACATACCGTGATACTGTCGCCGTTATGGTCGTCTCTGTACGCGTCGGCGAGCGAGAGTACCTTCTCGCGCACGTAGTTGGCGTTGGGGAAGTAGAGCGGCCCATCCACGCGCAGCACATACACGCCCTCCGTCACCTCCGCCTGCAGGTACTGCTGAATGTTGCGATACACGCCCGTGCCCGGCACCAGCCCCAGCGTGGCGAGGTGCGGGCGCGTGATCTGCACGAGGATCTTGAGCATCGACAGGCACACGCCCACCAGCAGCCCCGTCTCCACCGAGTCAAACAGAATGCCCAGGAACGTGCCGAGCGCCACGATGAAGTCGACCTTGTCGGCCTTCCAGATCTTCCAGATGGCCTCGTAGTCCAGCAGCCCCAGCACCGCGTTGATGATGATCGCCGCGAGAGTCGCGTTCGGCAGGTACTGGAACGCGGGCGTCACCCACAGCAGCGTGACCAACACCACGAGCGACATCACGATGTTGGTGAGCATGGTGGCGCCGCCCGCGTTGTAGTTGACGGCGGATCGCGAAAACGACCCCGTGGTGACGTAGCTCGACGTGAACGACCCCGCCACGTTCATCGCGCCCAGCGCGATCATCTCCTTGTTCCCGTCCACGTGGTAACCCTGTAACGCGGCGAACGTCCGCGCGATCGCCGACGCTTCCGTGAGCGCGACGAGTCCCGACACGAGCCCCACGACGGCGCCGTCCGCCGCGTCCTGCCCCGTCAGCTGCAGGTTGCCCAGCGACCCCAGCCCCGCCAGCCCCTTCTGCATCTTGCCCACCTTGGGCACGGGCGCGTTCGTCAGCCACACGGCGAGCGTCGACACGATGACGGTCGTCATGGGCCCCACGCAGTTGAGGTAGAAAAACACCTTTCCCACCACCTTCCGGCCCTTGAGGTGCTGCGCGAGCACGCGCAGCACGAGGAGGAAGGCGAGCATGGTGATGCCGATGAGGAACGCGCGCCAGTTGAACTGGTTGGTGTTCTTGAAGACGTATTCGAGCACCGCCACGATGTCCGTCTCCTGCGTGAACGACGTGTACCCCAGCAGCCCGCGCAGCTGCTGCAGCGCGATCGTGATGGCGGCGCCCGCCATGAACCCCACGATGACGGCGTGGCTCATGAAGTCGATGACGAAGCCCAGGCGGAAGATGCCCATCGCGAGCTGGTAGATCCCCGCGAAGAACGTCGCGGTGATGGCGAGGTTGAGGTACTGCGCGGGCTGCGCGTCCGCGTCGTAGTACTTGGAGAGCATGTCGCCCAGTAGGAGCGACACCACCGCCACCGGCCCTATCGCGATGTGCCGCGACGTGCCCAGCACTGCGTAGATCAGCGGCGGCACGAAGCTGCTGTCTGAAGGAGGGAGAAGGGAGGCGGAGGGGGGGAGTCGCGGAGGGGACGTGGAGGGGAAGGAGAAGCGGGGAGGCGGTAAGAATGTGTCGAAGGAGTGGGGGAAGGGGGGGGCTTGCGAAGGAGGGATCATGGCGACGACAGAGACGACATCAGCTGACGCGAGGAGGTTTCAATGCGACCGCAGTCGAGCGATGGGAGGCGGAACGAAGGAAACTAAGAACGGCGCGGAGGGCTGGGCGAAAGGGTCGGTGCTTACAAAGACCGTTGATGGGCGGCAGCTTGGCGAGCTTCGCGTACCCGAGATCCTGCACGGCGAGAGACGACGACAGGGGAGGAGAGACGCAAGACATTGAGGCGATGTAGAACGGAACGCAGCGCGGGGGAGAAGCGCATCCGCATTGAACAGGAGGGGACGTTTAGGTAGCAGAAACGACGAGCGGAAGAGTCGGCTCAAGGGTGGGAATGCTGACCTGGGGGACGGCGAGACTGGCGATGGTGAGCCCCGCGACGACGTCGCCGAAGAGGTCGGCGATCTTGTAATTAGAGACCCACTCGAGGATGGGGAAAACGTAGAACAGCGCCATCTTCGCGCGCTGCGCCGCCGTCTTGCCGCGGTACCCCTTGAAGGGGTCGTTGTCGATGACCATGAGCTGCTTCACCGGCGCGAACGTCTCCTTCAACTCGTCCTTGATGGACGCGTGCGGCACCATCACCTGGTGCTCGCGCGACGACCCCTGCTCGCGCGACAACGGCGGCTGCTCGTCATTCACCGTCTCGATCGACACACCCATGGCGGCGCTTCTGTGCGGTGTACCTCTAGTAGTAGGACGAAAGAGTCAACACGTTCGTAAAGTCGTATGTGGCGAAGCTAGGTTAGAAAACTAAGGCTGGAACACACTACGGAGCAAAAAATGCAGCAATCACTAGAATCTGGAATGAGGAACGCTTATCTTGCGGCTGCCTTATCTTGCGGCAACTTGTGGCGCGAATGATACACGAGGACGCCCAGGAGTGAGGACCGGTGCTGACAAGCTGCTGTTAGAGCGGAGGGAACGCGCGCGTTGGGGTTCTCCGTCCGAAACGAGTCGAGATCATACGTAAAGGGGGGAAGAGGCTTGGTCTGGATTCCGCTATGCCTGGGCAACATCGCGCATAGAGCGGAGCGGACAAGCTGGCTTTGGTTTGCCTCGACGGGACAGGTGCGGGGTCCACGGGCTAAACATCGCGCGTGCCGGGGTTCTAGGCAGTGTGGAGAAGCTGCCCTTGTGCACACCAAACAAACCAAACCATGAAAACCACGCACCGCACCGCAGATTGCACACCCTCTCCAAACAAACCACTGCCCGAGAAAACGCGGTGACCAGGAGCCAAACGAAATCACAGAACGAGGCCAGCAGCGCAAAAAATGGCGGTGGCCTGAACAAAGGTTTGGGGGAGGGAGGGAAAAGTGGTGGTGTGCGGGGAACGTGCGGGCAGGCTTGGAGTTCAGGCAGCCACCAAACCAATTGGGTCGACCCCTCCCCACACTTGGTCCATAAATGTGCGGGTCCCGAAGCGCGGAGATATGAGTTCGTCAGCCACCGAACCAATAGCATGCCGAGCTAAAAGCTCCCCATACCGAAGAAGGAGCCACCAAGAGAACCAAAGCAGCCATGCATTTTGGCTGCTGAATTCATCCGTGTTGGGGGAACACGTGGTTGGTGTGGCGAGATCTGCGGCTCTGACGGTGCTCGAGCCGCCAAACGGTCTGATTCAGTGTTTCAAGACAGTGGCCCCTGATGACCAAATTCAGTGTGTCAAAATCTAGCAGCGTAACGCCCATTCTACACTTGGTTGGAAATCCAGAAGCATATGACTCAGTACCGTGTTCAGTCTTTTGGTGGGTTAAATCTCTTCAGGATGACAGGACCACAGATCCTGTGAGAACCCTTAGTGAAACAGAACCATCATGTGTCTAAAAACAAAATTATAAACCTGGAGGTACAAATGCAATCGAGTATTTACAAGGCACCGACTGAATACGGAGCAAAAATGTGCTGGAGCAAAGCATGTCATATCGCAACAGCTGCGTCTACTTCTGTGTCTGTGCGAACTACGATAGGCCCCACTCTCTTCCCCCACACCCCTTTCTCTCCACGGCAGTGAATGCATTCGGCAATGCTGAAGATGGTGTGTGGTGTGGTGCGGCAGCAACCGCCCAGCACTGCCGCCCCAGCGCTCACCCACTCAGGGGCGTACGACACAAAGCCATCGTCGCTCAGCCCACTGCATGGCTGCACGGAGTGAGACATGTGGCAAGAAACAGGGGCGATAAAGTGCTAGCATTTGAAATGGGTGAGCGGAGTGTGGAAATTTTTCACTGATCACAGGGCTCACGGGACGGGCGAAGAGTGGGGCGAATGGATCGGTGGGTGATGAAGCAGTATGCAGCAGTAGAGAAGGGGAAAGCACAGCAGAACAGAGCAAAGCAGAGCAGAAAATAGTGGAGAGGCGCAGAGTGGATCAGGGCAAAACACGCACCACCCATTCCTTGTTGATGCCGTCCCACGCCTCCCCACTGTTGGGGTACACCACCAGTGGCTTCGATGTCTCCTGCCATGCGGGCACACAGGGACGGAAGGAGGGGGGTCAAGAAAGAGGGGATGAGAGGTGAGAGTTGATGGTTGGACGAGGAGGTAATGGAGAGGGAAGCGGAGAAGAGTGCAGAGTGGGACACATAAATGCTGAGGCTGCCAGAGTGTACCGCTGCAATCGCACGACCCGCTCTGCCGCACAGAGAAAATAGCAGTCTAGCCTGGGGGGCAGTGCATGGGGAGCACACAACTGAGCCCTCCCACGCAGAGCAGCGGGGCGAGGCACAGCCCACTCGAAACAGCACCGAACACTTCCTAACCCGCCTCACTCACTCTTCCGCCTCCTTCCCCTGCCCGCCTCACCTTCCGAGCGGCATGCAGCAGTGGCAGGATGAAGCGGGGCGGTGTGCAGTTGATCCCCACGGCCACCACGTGCGGGCTGGCAGCGGCGGTGGCGATGCAGGCAGAGAAGAGGTCTCCTGACGGCGCCGTGCAGCCGTCCTTGCTGTTGAAGCTGATCCACGCCGGCACTGCTGCTGCGCCCGTGGCAGCCTGCTCCTCTAGCAGCTGCACCAGGGCCTGTGAGGGGAGGGATCGGAGAGGGTGTAGGAGGAAGGGGCAGAGGGCGGCGAGGAGAGTTGAAAGGGTGGCGGTGCCAAGGAGATGAGATGCATTATTGAGGAGAAGGTGTGCATCAGCATGGTGTAGGAGTGGCGAATCATGGCTTGCTGGGCAAGGCATGCCATGACATGGTGCGGCAACCTTGCATGACATGGCATGTGGCATGGCATGTCGCATGGCATGGTACGGGATAGCATCGCGTGGTGCGTACCTGAGCCTCGATTAGGCATGGAATGGTCTCCATGGCGATTATGTCCGGCCCCGCTGCTGCCAGCACCTGCTCCCCCCGCCACGGCGCACACAGCACGGACGGCACACCACCAGGAGAGGCATACACGGACGGGACACACCACGCGTGGCACAGGCGGCACAGCAAGGGGCGGCACAGCAAGGGGCGACACAGCAAGGGGCGACACAGCAAGGGGCGGCACAGCAAGGGGCGGCACAGCAAGGGGCGGCACAGCAAGGGGCGGCACAGCAAGGGGCGGCACAGCAAGGGGCGGCACAGCAAGGGGCGGCACAGCAAGGGGCGGCACAGCAAGGGGCGGCACAGCAAGGGGCGGCACAGCAAGGGGCGGCACAGCAAGGGGCGGCACAGCAAGGGGCGGCACAGCAAGGGGCGGCACAGCAAGGGGCGGCACAGCAAGGGGCGGCACAGCAAGGGGCGGCACAGCAAGGGGCGGCACAGCAAGGGGTGGCACGAAAAGGGCAGCATGAGCAGGCGAAGAGCTCCAAGGAAATACCAGAGGCATGTGAAAGTTGGGAAGCAGATGAGGAGCCACAAGAATGTCACACGCAGCTCGAACATGGCGTGTGGCAGAATGAACGCACGGCATCGCACGGCACGGCACGTTATTGCATGGCACAGCATGGCACGCACCTGCAGTCGGCGGCGGTGGAAGGCCATGAGTCGCTCCACTGTCATGTCCGCACCGTAGTCGCCACTGCAGGGGGGGTAAGGGAGGGCGGGCCGCAGGACACGACTTGCATGTGTTCCCCAGGCACGCAGGCAGCACGGATGGCCAAAGCATTGCTTCCCACCTCATCCCACTTTCGCGTTCACCCCTCACCCGTGCTCCACATACGCGCGTGTGTTCGAATCCCGACCCACTTTGCTGCACGTCTCTGCAATTTCCACCTGTGGCCAAGCCTTCGCTCAATAACTGATCCTCTAAAGCCTGCGGCCGAGATTTGAGCATTGAAAGCCTGTTCCCGCACCCACGTGCAATCCCACAATCATCCACCCGCACTTCCACTCTCACCCTCACCCGCACCGCCGCACCCCATCCCCCACACACCTGTACTCGGAGCCGTCCGCGAGGAACGCGCCGTAGCTGCCGACGGACGCCGCCACCAGCGGCTTCACGCGCCCCGCCACGCGCTCAACGCCGCCCTCCGTGCGCTCCACCCGCTCCCCCCTCCGCTCCGCCTCCGCGCAGTGCTGCGCCCAGAAGCGGTCCCGCGCCTCCCCCACCAGCTGCACGCTGCGCGCTAGAAGAGCCTCCGCCTGCCCCTCCGACAGCCCGCGCGCCGTGAAGCCCTCTATGGTTGCCTGGGGAAGCGCCGAGGTGCGGGGACGAGTGGGTGAAGAAACGAGAACGGGAGGCGGAAAGAGACATTTTACAAACGAGGTAAATAACTACTAGTATTGTCCAAGCATCTACGCATAACTCGCGGAGAGGGTTGAGGTAGATCCAGAAATAAAAGAGGCGGGATACGAGAACTGGGTGGACGATGGAGGAACATGAATGCTGGAAGTGTTGTTGTTTTGACACGTGGTGAGTAGTGACACGTGGGGAGTAGTGACAGATGTTTAGGCAGCCTCATATTGGCAGTGTTTCCGCGAGTTGTTACTTGCCAAATATAGCAGTACTTGCCTGATGTGGCAACTCATCGAGCTACAACACCCGTACCTGGTACGACGCGGAGATGGAAATGTCGGCGCCCGCGCGGTAGTAGTCCAGATGAACCTGCGCGCGGCGATGGACGAAACGGGATTGCGGGCGGCGGAAATAGGGGGCGGATGGGCGAATGATTAATACGGATGAGAGCCCGACGGCACGGGGAACCATCACTCGCTGCTCTGAAGGTCTTTAGCGGCGACACACGCAACCGGCGCTCGCTGCTGCGATGTCAGATCCGCGAGACGCGTCGCGCCTGTCGTTCGAGGCGATGCGGGCACGCTCACTGCAGAAGACATCTACAGCCGTGGTCGCCTCTAAGATGCATCGCCACTCGCCCCTCTCGACTACCGACAGAGATTTGCCCGTTGCCAACCGCAGCGCACCTTGCGAACGAGGCTAGAAGCTTCCTCTTCCATGAGGCACTTGGCGGACCACAGCGGGTCGTTGAGGTCCGCGCCGCGCAGCTCCAGCTCCGTCGCCAGCCCGCCGTCCAGCACCGCGCACCCGCCGCGCGCCGCAATCACCGCCGCCAGCAGCCCGTACTTCTCCGCCACTCCCCCCCCGCTCGTCTGCGCATTGCGGCTTCCGCCGGGATCCGCGTGCTGCTGCGCGTGCGAGTCGTTTCCCCCGAAGCTTCCGCCGGAATGAACGGCGGACGCCGCTGCGGAACGGAAGGTCCCGGGAGCCATTCGCGCGGTTTGTGTAAGAGGTTTGAAGGATTGCGTAAAAGAAGAAACTAGATTACGAGGTGCGACGCGAGATGACGAGAGCGAAGAAGTGTCAACGAGAAAGAGCGGAGGAGGTTGTGAAATCGTCGTCATAAGAGGAGCGGCGAGGAGCAAGAAAGAAGTGAGAGCTGTGGGCAACAGAGGCCACGGGTGGGCGGGCTGTGGACAGCTTGCTGCGAGGGTGAGACGAGAAATGAGCAAGTGAGAAGGCGGGGTGGTGTGCTGCAGAGGGACGTTGGTGCTGGCGGGGTTGCGGCATGTGCGACAGCTGTGGTCCCATTCGCATTCCCCATTCGCAAACGCATTTCCCTCTCCCAGCCGCCAACCCGTCACGACGGTAGCCAGGTCGAAGATCCAACTAGAGGCGAGGGAATGCGAGGGAATGGACGGTGCGATCGTGACTGGAGGGGTTTGAGACAGGCCGAAAGCGCTGGTGCGCTGGACTGGGTGTTTGGCCACGCGCTCGAGCTCGTTAACACGTCAGACGAGTTGATTTGCTGAATGCCTGCCTGCCAGCTGGACAAGGGCACTGGCAGATAATTATCAGCAACCGTTTGCGCTAGAGCCGGAGCGTGTTCACTGAACCACAAAACAGTGCCGAATCGAGGCAAGTGCGGAGACAGAGAATGTGGACTGTTCGACCAACTGTGTAACCACCCTTCGGTCGGTGGCACGGGGATTGCTCCCTTGAGTCGCTGAATCACATACGCGGGAAAAGCCCTTCACACGTGGTACTCCGTCTCTGGACAGCTCTGTATTGTCCACTTACAAAGCCCCAGATTGCCCCCACGCAAAAGCTTGTCAAGTCGGTATTGGTTGCAAGACATCCATATAGTAAATCAAACATCTAGAAGACTGAATCACTTGTAACTTTTGCTAATGTCCTTCTACAAACACACTAAACAATAGCATGCGTGAAGCCCAAACACCACACTAAACACTGCAATGTTGAGATGAAGTTCCGCATTCCTGGGAGTGCTTTTGAACCGCAACACAATTGTCCAATTATCAGGATACGACAAGACAGCATTCACTTGCGCATGGCGAAGAGCCCAGGAGGGCCAGCAGAGGCAGGGGAGGCGGGCGTGAAAGGGCGGGAGGCCAGCGCTGCAGGCTTGTTGGCAAACGCCCCAAAACCTCCTCCTGCACCCATGATGATGGCGGCAAATGGTGGCATGGGCACAGGCATGGGGGGTCATGTGTCAGGGGGTGTGGGGTCATGAGATCACGGGGGCAAGAAAAGGGCAAAAGCACAAGGAAATGCATCCGTGAGAAATGAGGCAAGCAAGTGCCACCCATGGGTTATGTAACTGTGTTGGGTTGAAAAGCAGGGCATCACGCACCTCCCTGGGCGGCACCAGCAAAGCCGCCACCTGTCGTCAACCCAGCGAATGGAGACACAGCTGGTGCTGCCGCAGATAACTGGGCAGCAGCCCCAAAAGCAGGGGCACCTGATATGTTTCGCGTCTGCCCGAACGCGCCCAGAGCGAAGCCTGACCCTGAGCTGGGCGAGGTCTGGGCAGCAGCAGGGGCAGCAGCAGCTCCGAAGGGGGAGGAGGGGGAGGCAGGGAAGGCAAATGGACCAGCAGTTGAGCCAAAGGGGCGAGGGGCGGCTGGAGAGGGGGTGCTGAGAGAAGAGGGAGCACCGAATGGGGAGGAGGAGGCAGGAGAGGAGGATGAAGCGGCAGGGAGGGCGAAGGAGGCCGGTGCAAAGAGATTCGGAGAGGTGCTGCTGGCGCCAAAGGCAGGCTGGGAGGCCGGCGAGAAGGCAGAGGCAGAGGTGGGGGAGGCGAAGGCAGGGGCGCCGAAGGGAGAGCCTCCAAAGGGGTTGGCGGGGGTGGTGGAAGGGCGGGGAGCAGAGGAGCCAAAGCCCAGCGAGGCAAAGGCGCCTGCAGCAGCGGTGGGTGGCGCCGTGGCCGCTCCTTGCTCCTCCTCCATCCCCTCATCGTCCCCCCCTTCTCCCCCTGCTGCCATGGGCGCAGGCTGAGGGGAAGGGGACCTGGGCGGCTGGAAGGGGGAGGAGGCGACAGGGGGAGTGGAGAGAGGGGCGGTGGGCAAGGCAGGGGCGGGGGAGGTGGGGGCAAAGGGAGATGACTGGGAGGCGAAGGGAGAGGTGAAGGATGGGAAGGCAGCGGCTGGGGCAGCAGCAGAAGCTGTGGCTGCCGCTGGTGGTGTGGTGGCTGCTGGGGATGAAGTGGATGACAAGGTGGTGGATGGAGTAGCAGCAGAAGCAGAAGTGGGGGTGACAGCGACAGGAGCAGTAGTGGAAGGAGGGGTGAGCGGCTTGGAGGAGAAGAGTGGCGTGGTGGTGGAGAAGAGCGGAGGGCGGGAGGCAGGTGCAGGGGCGGAGGAGAACGGGGAGGAGAAGGAAGGGAGAGCAGAGGAGAAGCCAGACAGGGGAGAGGACGGGGTGGGGGAGGGTGCTGCAGCAGCAGAAGATGCTGCTGAGGGGGCTGCAGTTGTGGCATTTGCACTCGGCTTAGCAGCAGCGGCCGCAGCAGAGGCAGCGGTTTCTGATGCTGCTGCGGCTGTGCCTGTGCTGGCAGCACTGGTGGCGGCAGCAGCAGTAGTAGAAGCAGTGGCAGGGGGTGTGGCAGTGGGTGGCTTGGGGGCCTGTTTGGGGAGCTGGAAGGGGTTGGTGGCCTGGGAGAACGGCGAGGCGGAAGAAAATGGGGAGGTGGAGGAGAATGGTGAGGGAGAGGACGAGAAAGGGGAGGTGGAGAAGGGAGTGGAAGAGAACGGGGAGGCGGTTGCACTGGTGGTGAAGGGGGATGGCTTGGTGGCTGGTGCAGTGAAGGGCGACGGGGAGGAGGAGGGGGAGGAGAAGGGAGAGGAGAACGAGGAGGTGGATTGTGAGGAGGAAGCAAAGCCAAAGGGAGAGGAGGAGGGTGGCTTGGGGGCAGCTGAGAGGGACGGAGCGGAGAGAGTAGAGGCTGCTGATGCTGCCCCTCCTGTTGCTGCCGCTGCCGTTGCTGCTGCTGTTGTTGGCTGTGTATGTGAGGACATGGGTGTGGGGCTGAAGAGGGACGGGAACGGGGACACGGTGGGCTTGGATGCCGTCGAGAAGAGAGGAGCAGCACTGGCCACACTGCCAGCACCAGCAGCACTTGCCCCTCCTGCTCCTCCTGCCCCCCCTGCCACGCCTGCTGCTGTTGCTGCTGGCTTCTTCCCGGCTGCAGCGGCAGTTGCAGCAGTCGAGGCGGGCGGGAAGGGGGAGGGAGAGGAGACAGCAGCGGGGGTGGGGGAAGGGGAGCGGGAGCGGGAGGTGCCGGCAGGGGCAGGGGATGCGGTGCAGGCAGGTGGGGAGGGAGAGCGAGCGGGAGGGGAGAGAGAGGCAGACGCAGAAGCAGATAGGGTGGGGGAGATGGGCTTGGAGGGAGGTGCAGCTGGTGTGTGTGTCTCTACATCCCTGTTAGCTCTGGCTTTCGGCCTCAGCTTCATTCTGGGTGCTGCAGGTGAGCGCGTGGCAGCCGCTCGTGCTGGTTCTGCTCCTGCTGTTGCTGCGGGTGCTTCCGCACGGCCTGGACGGGGGAGGCGGGGAGAAGGGAGGCATAGGGAATGCAGGCGAGAGAGGGAGAAGGGTTGGCTGGTGTGGCAGGGTTGAAGCAGCCGTGCATGGATGCATGAGCTTGTGATATGATGTGGGTCCTCAGTGTGGTATGACAGCAAGTCGCCAATGCTGCAGCCCGGTTATCTGAGTGTATGAGAAGGGCCTTGGATTCATGGCAGCAAATGGTGCACAAGAAGGGTTGAAGGGAAAAAAGCAAGGCAGCGTGACGGCAAGGCAGCAGCAGAGAGGCAGCAACCGCATCAGCAGCAGAAAGAGCAGAGCAGAGCAGGCTGGCACATACCTGAAGGGAGGGGGGCATGGCCGCCCAAAGAGGAGAGGCCCGGGAGGGGGCGCTTTGGAGTGGGGGAGGAGCGGGAGGGCGACGAGAGGAGACGCAGTGGGAGAGCCTGGGGCAGGGGGAAGGTGGGGAAGGGGAGAGGGATGAGAGGGAGTGGGCAGTCATGAGAGGTTGTGTGGCAGTGTGTGCTGGAGAAGTGCTATTGCAGCTGGTCTTAGAGAAAAGCAGGTGGGGATGTGTTAGAGCAGCAAAGAAGAGCACACGTGGGAGGGGATGCACTGCAATTGCTGTGAGCAGGTTGGCAGCGAGGCGACAGCAGCAGCAGAGCACTGCACTTCCCCTGCTTCCACACCCATCACCTCCCTTCCATCCCACCATAACAAGCCCCACGCTCCTCCCACCATTCCCCCATCATCCCCCCTCACCCACCTTCCTTGTGGCACCCATGCTGCGCCTGGGAGTCCCCATCGCACCTCCCTCTCCCCTCCCTCCCCTACCCCGCCCTTCCTCCTCCTCCACCCGCTCCCACTCCCTCCCTCCCCCACTCCGCAACCGCTCTCCAACACTCTCCACCCCCCAATCCTTTGCATCTGCCCTCTTCCCCTTCCTCTCCCCCACCCCATTCTCCTCCTTGTCCCCCTCCTCCTCTCCCCCCACCTCCAGGTCCCCTGCACTCAGCCCTATCCTCGCAGACGCCCGCCTCTTGCCGCCCCCCTCCCCCTCCCTGCCCTCCCCTCCCCACACGCCCCTTCCCCCTCCCCATCCACCTCCCCCTCCCCCCCCATCCTCCAGAGACTCAAGAATCGCTGCTGCTGTCACGGATCCCGTTTTCCCCCGCATCCCCGCCCCCCCATACCCGCCCTTGCGCTTCTCTCTCTCCCCTCCCCGCCCCCCACCCGTTCCCTGCCCTTCAGTGTCATCCAGAAGGCCAGGAAGGCGTGTGTGGGGGGAGGAACCGGGGGAGGCGCGGGGGGAGGCGCGGCGGCGGGTGCGGGGAGGGGAGGGGAGCGGGGGGAGGGCGAGGCGGGAGCGCAGGAGGGCGGCCTGGTGGAGCAGGTGGGAGGCCACTGCCAGCTGCGCGTTCACTGTTGCCGCTAGGGGCGGCCAGGGGGAGACCGGGGAAGTGCTGCAGAGGAGTAGCAGGGAAGGGGCAGAGGGGAAGGGAGGGTGATGATTGGAGGGAGGAAAGATTAGGGGAAGGATAGTCATGAGGAAGGGGAAGAGGAAGAGAATAAAGAACAGGAGGAACGGAAGACGGCATGAGAGTTGGATGAAGAGGTGATGCGGAGATGGAGTGGACTGGAAGAGGAACAGCAGCAACCGTAGGGGCGCAGGGAAAGAGGCACTGAAGTGGCCCAGGGGTGTGCGAGCCAAGATGCCGAGTATCAGAATAGTGGTTCGGTTGGGTGCAAGGACTGGGGTTTGGGGTTCTGGGTTCAGAGAGTCAATGCCAACGCACCCGTGGCGACCAGCAGCAGCGGCCATGTTGAGCCCACCAAACCGATCGGTGAGCGATGAAAACTCCTCCTCAGCCCCGTACCCCCCACCGTACCCCACACCTTGCCCCTGCCACACTCCCCCGTGCGCCCTCCGACTAGCCCTGGCCCTCTGCTCTCTCTCCTGTCGCTCCCGCTCCCTCTGCTCCTGCCGGCGCCGTGCCTCCTCCTCCTGCGCCATCTGCTGCAGCTCTGCCAGTCGTACCCGCACCTCCTGGAGGGGGGACGGGGGGGGTGGTGGGGGGGGCAGGGAGAATGAAGAGTTGACTGGCTGTTGCAGCTCTGCCAGGCGCACCTGCACCTCCTGGGGGATTCGGAGAGAGGGGGGTTGGGGGCGGAAGGGGGGGGGAGAAACAGGAGAGGAGGGTGGAGGCGCAGAACAATAAGTATGAGTTGATTAGACGATGGGGGAGGGATGGGAGGAAGAGAAGGGCGAGAGAACAGAGGAAGGCCAGAGGGAAAACGAGGCGCAGAGCAGTGGGAGCGGGTGATGCAGCTGGGAGGGAGGGAAAAGGGGAGAAATCACTCACGTCAACCAAGCAACGCATTCATGCCCACCTGACACAGCGTGAGCCCTCTCTGCCTGCCCCACCTGTTACGAGCCTCAGCCCTCTCTGCCTGCCCCACCTGTTACGAGCCTCAGCCCTCTCTGCCTGCCCCACCTGTTACGAGCCTCAGCCCTCTCTGCCAGCGCTGCTCCCACCTGTCTGAGAGTGAGCAGGCGTCGGCGCTGCCGCTGCAGAGATGGCGGCAGCGGCTGGTCGGCATGCAGCGATGCGAGTGAGGGGGACGCGAGCAGGCGCACCCATTGCAGTGCGTGGGGTGAGCCCTCACTACCTGCCCTCTTCCCACCCACCTGTCTAAGAGTGAGCACGCGTTGGCGCTGCTGCTCCAGCGATGGCGGCAGTGGCTGGTCAGCATGCAGCGAGGCGAGGGAGGGGGTGGAGAGCAGGCGCACCCAGTGGGACGCCCGCACCACCCTGTCCTCCGCTGGTGAGGAAGAGGGGAGAAACAGAGCGGGACACAGTGAGCGGCTGGTGTGCGTGCAGCGAGGCGAGTGAGAGAGAGGCCAGCAGGCGCACCCAGTGGGACGCCCACACCACCCTGTCCTCCGCTGGTTTGGAAGGAATGGGAGGGGGAGAAGGGGTGACGGACTTGAGGAAGGAACAAGGGATGAGAGGACGCAGAGGCTGGTCGGCATGCAGCGAGGCGAGTGAGGGGGAGGCGAGCAGGCGCACCCAGTGGGACGTGCGCACCACCCTGTCCTCCACTGGTGGAGAGGGGGGGGAGGATGGGGGGCAGAGTCGGAGGAACAGGTAGGACTGGAATGCATGCCCTGGTATGATATGAGGGAGAGCAAGGGGCCAGTGGGAAGGAGCACACAATGCAAATGAAGAGCAAAACCACTTTACTTTCTCCCTTAGTCCCTCTCCCTTAGTCCCTCTCCCTTAGTCCCTCTCCCTTAGTCCCTCTCCCTTTGCACCAGCCAACCCTCCATTCCAACACCCCCTCTGCCCCAGCACCCCCACTCTCTGCCTGCATCCCTTCCTCCCAATCTTCCCTTCCCACTCACCCATCAAATTCCCATCCCTCAGCTCCTCCACCACCCCTCTCAACTCCTCCACACCGCTCTTAAACCCTTTCACAGCACCCCCCATCTCCCTCACGCGCCCCTCCACCTCCTTCAACCGCTCCCCCAGCGCCCCCCCCTCCACAGCCCCCTGCACCTCCGCGCTCATCCCCCTCATCTCCCCCATGGCTGCTATCAGCGCCTCTATCACCCCGCCTGCTGCCGCTGCTGCTGGGTGGGAGGATTGCGCGGGAGAGCGTTTGGGGAGCAACGAGCGGCGCTGGTCGGGGGAGAGAGCGGTGGGGAGGAGTGTGGAGGGGTGTGGGAAGACTGCTTCTGGCTTGGGAATCGCTGGCCGCGCTGCCTCTTCTGGTTCATACACCTCCCCTTCTTCCTCCTCCTCATACTCCTCCTCATACTCCTCCCCCTCTTCCTCCTCATACCCCTCCTCCTCCTCCCCTTCCTCATACTCTTCCTCTCCTTCCTCCCCCTCATACTCCTCCTCCCCTTCCTCGTATTCTCCCTCCTCTTCCTCTTCCTCCTCCTCTGCCTCCCTCCCTGTCTTCCCCACCACAAACGCTCCTTTAGCAGGCAGGCGCCTGTCAGCCAGAGACCCTGCTGCTGCCGCTCCTGCTGCTGCCGCCACAGCAGCAGCACCAGCAGCAGAACCAGCACTACCAGCACGAGTGGCAGCAGCAGGGGCAGCAGCAGCAGCAGATGCGTTAAAAGGAAGGCCCTGCAGAGGAGCGTTTTTAGAGCCGAACGGGCCGAACGGCGAGGAGGAGGAGGCGGGGGGGGGAAAGGGGGATGCGGAGGTGGGGGGCGCGAATGGGGGGAAGGCGGAAGGGGCAGCTGGGGGGGAATCTTTAGCAGCAGGGGCAGCGGGGAAGGGGAAGGGGGAGGCAGGTTTGGAGGTGGAGGAGGGGAAGGGGAAGGGGGAGAGGGGCTTGGAGGAGTCAGGGGGGCGGGAGAAGGGGGCGAAGAGAGTGGAGGAGGGCGCAGGGGCGAGGGGGAATGGGGAGGACGCGGGGGGAGAGGCTGCAGCGGCTGCAGAGGGAGCAGCAGCAGTGGGAGGTTCGGCAGGCTTTGCAGATGGCATGGTGAAGGGGGAGGCTGGGGTTGGGGACTTGGGGGCAAAGGGAGAAGAGGCAGTGCCGAAGGGGGAGGCAGCGCCAAAGGCAGGAGCAGAACCAAAGGCAGGGGCAGAGCCAAAGGCAGGAGCAGAACCAAAGGCAGGGGCAGAGCCAAAGGCAGGAGCAGAACCAAAGGCAGGGGCAGAGCCAAAGGCAGGAGCAGAACCAAAGGCAGGGGCAGAGCCAAAGGCAGGAGCAGAACCAAAGGCAGGGGCAGAGCCAAAGGCAGGAGCAGAACCAAAGGCAGGGGCAGAGCCAAAGGCAGGAGCAGAACCAAAGGCAGGGGCAGAGCCAAAGGCAGGAGCAGAACCAAAGGCAGGGGCAGAGCCAAAGGCAGGAGCAGAACCAAAGGCAGGGGCAGAGCCAAAGGCAGGGGCCGAACCAGAGCCAAAGGCAGGGGCCGAACCAGAACCAAAGGTCGGGGCCGAACCAAAGGCAGGGGCAGAACCAAAGGCAGGGAATGCAGAGGAGAAAGGAGAAGGGGAGGAGGAAGGTGGGGAGAACGAAGGGGCGGCAGCAGAGGCAGCAGCAGCAGCAGCAGAGGCGGCCACAGCGGCAGCTGGGGCAGCAGCGGCAGCTGGGGCAGCAGCGGCGGGGGAGGGATGCATGAGGCGCTGCAGAAAGGGCTGTGGGGCGCCTGGCTTGAGAGAGGACGCTGCTGCTCCCCCTGTGGGGGACACCTTCACTGCTGCCGCCCCCTGCCCCGCCCCCCCCGCTCCCCCCGCTCCCCCCACGCCTTCCCCAGCTGCATCACCGGGCGGCGGAGACGGGCTGCTAGCCGTGTCCTCATCCTCGTCCTCCCCCTCCCTCTTCCCACCCCCCTGGGCTGCCACAACCCCCGGCTGGAGGCGGGAAGGGGGGAGTGTGGGGCGGGAGGTAGGGGGGGGAGTGGCGGGGGGGCTAGAGGCGCGGCTCTGGAGGGAGGCGGTGGGGGGCGATGGGGGCGCGTGCAGGGGGAGGGAGGCGAGGGGAGGCGGGAGGGGGAGAGGGGGGTGGACGAGGGACGGGCCTTCTAGCTTGTCGAGACTGCCGTGGGGGAGAAGGGGAGGGGTAAAGGGAGCATATGGGCAGGGGAAGGGCGGTTGGGGATTAGAGATTGTGGAAGGAGGTTAGGTGGATGGAGAGGCCGAACAGGAGGCAAAGGGGAAGGGCTCCAGGTGGGGGACCGGGGGTGAAGGGAGTGGAGAGCAGAGCAAGGGGGTTGTAAGGCACGAGTTACGCTTCAATGCTAGGGGCATAGCAGCATGGGCAAGGCACAGAGGAGAAGTTGCGGGCGAATACACGCAGCAGCGCGTTGAGTCCTGAGCGGCACGAGGGAGAGCGTTTTGGCGAGAAAGGGAGCGTACCGAACAAGGGAGAGGGAGAGTGCCTGCCTACCGCGTGAGGGAGAAGGCGTAGAAGCAGCAGTCGAGCGTGACAGCGAGCAGCAGGGGCATGGCGGGCAGAGGCGTGTCGTCGTCCCGAGGGTCCATTGGGCTCACTGCGGCCCATGCTGAGCACAAATCCATTGCTGCCCCCACCACCTGGTTGTCGTCCCCGCTCTCTGGAAGAACACAGGTGCGGGCAAGCAAGGAGAGGCGAGGAGTCCGAGGGGAAAATGAAGGGTGGAGTATTCGATTCGCATGCCTTCCATTCCACCACAAACACCATGTGGGTGTCGTCGTCCCGAGGGTCCATGGGGCTCACTGCGGCCCATGCAGAGCACACGTCCATTGCTGCCCCCACCACCTGGTTGTCGTCGCCGCTCTCTGTGGTGAGGGGCGTCGAGGGGGTGAAGGGCGGGAAGTAGAGGGCAGGATGCACATGAGGTGAAGGGCGTGTCCATCCATGGGCTCCCTGCCGCCCTGCCCCCACCACCTGGTTGTCGTCACCATATTGAATATTCTATAGGGCAGTGGGGTGAGATGAGATGAAGGGTTTAAGAGGTACGCTGCCATGCCGGCCATGTGGCCGTCATCCCCCCGTTCTCATCCCCCCGTTCCCATCCCCCCGTTCTCATCTCCCCTTCTATGCACAACCCCTTCACCCATCCCCTCACCCTGCTTCTGAATGCACGCCAGCCATCGATCGTTGGCAATCTCACACACCCGCGCGTTGCCCCACCCCCCGCCCTCCTGCTCCTCCTCCTCCTCCTTGCTCGCAGCAGAGGAGGAAGGTGCGGGGAACCATCCGAGCACGTTGACATGGTAGTCCCTGCTGCGCTGACATACCGCCACCGCCACCTGCCTGCTCCTCATGCTCATGTGCACACACACGCAGATGCATGAGAGCACGCACACACAGATGCATGAGAGCACGCACACACAGATGCATGAGAGCACGCACACACAGATGCATGAGAGCATGCACACACAGATGCATGAGAGCACGCACACACAGACACATGAGAGCACGCACACACAGACACATGAGAGCACGCACACACAGATGCATGAGAGCACGCACACACAGATGCATGAGAGCACGCACACACAGATGCATGAGAGCACGCACACACAGATGCATGAGAGCACGCACACACAGATGCATGAGAGCACGCACACACAGATGCATGAGAGCACGCACACACAGATGCATGAGAGCACGCACACACAGATGCATGAGAGCACGCACACACAGATGCATGAGAGCATGCACACGCAGATGCATGAGAGCACGCACACACAGACACATGAGAGCACGCACACACAGACACATGAGAGCACGCACACACAGATGCATGAGAGCACGCACACACAGATGCATGAGAGCACGCACACACAGATGCATGAGAGCACGCACACACAGATGCATGAGAGCACGCACACACAGATGCATGAAAGCACGCACACACAGATGCATGAGGGCACGCACACACAGATGCATGAGAGCACGCACACACAGACACATGAGAGCACGCACACACAGATGCATGAGAGCACACACACACAGATGCATGAGAGCACGCACACACACGAGCACGGGCACGCGCATGAGCACAGGTACACACAAGCAGAGAGAGGGCGGGTGAGGGGGAGTGGTGGGGGCCATGAGGGCATGTTGAGCGCAGCCAGCCATAACATGCCCATGCGCACAACCATGTCATGGATGGGTCAATGGGTTGCTGTTGAAAGACACATGCATGCGCAAGGGGACGGAGGGCATGCAATGCAACAGTGGGCTGTTGAGGAGGAGAGGCACGGCACGCACCACTGCTGCAGCGTGGCCAATAGCATGCCGCCACCTGGCACGTCCTCCACGCCGGCAAACGCCCCCTCCAGCTGGCGCACCTGCTTGCTGCTCGCCTCCTGCCCGGCCCACACAGGCGGGGTGGGTGGGGTGGGGTGGGTGGAGCCAGCACGGGAGGTAAGGGGTGAGAGCGCGGGGTGATGGGCCAGCACGGAAGGAACATGCTTCAAGCAGCAGGGCGAGGGAAGGAGTGGAAAGATGCAGCGGTCTTGGCACACTGTGCAGAGGGCAGGGCGCACCTCATGCAGGTTGCCGTGCAGCAGAGAGCATACCTCATGCAGGTTGCCGTGCAGCAGAGAGCATACCTTGTGCAGGTTGCCGTGCAGCAGAGAGCATACCTCGTGCAAGTTGCCGTGCAGCAGAGAGCATACCTCGTGCAGGTTGCCGTGCAGCAGAGAGCATACCTCGTGCAGGTTGACGTGCAGCAGAGAGCATACCTCGTGCAGGTTGCCGTGCAGCAGAGAGCATACCTCGTGCAGGTTGCCGTGCAGCAGAGAGCATACCTCGTGCAGGTTGCCGTGCAGCAGAGAGCATACCTCGTGCAGGTTGCCGTGTAATGAGGAGAGGCAGAAGAGCGAGCGTGTGGGCTCCCCAAAGTCCTCATCCTCCGCCTCCCCCTCCACCAGCAGCGCGTTGGGTGCTACCCACCGCACCGATGTCACTGATGGATGCAGGCAGGGCCACAGAGCAACACGTGCAGAGAGCACACACGCAGTGCAAGAAACAAAGTCATCACATAAGCAGTGACAGTGGCAGCGCGTTGGGCGCCGCCCAGCGCACCGATGTCACTGATGGATGCAGGCAGGCAGAGCAGCACGTGCAGCGAGCACACACGCGCAGCGCAGCACACATGGAGGGCACACACGCAGAGCACACGGCATGGCATGAAGGCGTAGGAGGCAGGGCAGTGCAAGCAAGCAAGCATTATGGCGGGAGGAGGCAGGCATGTGCGGGGCAACGCACACCCAAGTCACTGTGCAACGAGGAAGGACTGGCAGCAGCGCAGCGAGAGAGAAGAAATCAGCACATGGGATGGGCATGCGAAGGTGCACCCACCCGAGGTGGGGCAGCCACCCAGAGGGGACAGGTCGCGCGAGAGGGAGAAGAGCAGCAGCAGTGGGAGTGGAAGGTGAGACGCGCTGAGGTGGAACACACAAGTAGGCGGGGCTAGGGGTGCTCTCACTCAACCGTGGTGGGGTTAGGGGTGCTCTCACTCACGCGTGGTGGGGTTAGGGGCACACTCACCCGATGTGGGGCAATCGCCCAAGGGGGGAAGATCAAGGGAGAGCGAGAAGAGCGGCAGCAGCAGGTCGGAGTGGAAGGTGAGACGCGCTGAGGCGGAGCACACCGCCAGGAACATGCCACACGGGCTCCACGCGGCTGCGATGGTGGGGGGGGGAGAGGGGGGGGAGGGAGGTGTGGGACAAGAGCAAGGGGTCAATGCACTCAGGTACCCGGCACGTCACAGGGGAGCACACTGCCAGAAGGAACATGCCACAGGGGCTCCACGCGGCTGAGGGAGGCGTGATGGGAAAAAGGGTGGGGAGGGGGTGACGGGTGGAAGGGAGAGAGGCTCTGTCAATCAAAAAGCACGGAGGCAAGGCACTCAGGCAGCTCACAGCACCGCACAGCACCTCACAGCACCACATGCAGGTGCACAAGAGATTAACTAGAAAGCCTACAAACAAAGCAGAGAGCAGCAGCGGAATGCATACCAGCAGCTGCGCCATCAGCAACGAGCTTGAGTCCCGCCTGCCCCACGCGCCCTGCCAGCACCATCCCCCCCTCCGTGCGCATCATAAAGCTCCCCGCCACCTCCGGGTTCCACCCCCACTCCGCCACGCGCGCGCCCTCCTCCCCCTCTCCGCCCCGCCCCGTGGCCTGCAGGGCCTCCGCGACGTGTACAGTGTGCAGGGGCGCGGGGGGGCTCTCCATGCGCACTGCTGCGCCGCTCGCCTCCGCCGCCTTGCACGCCGCCCCCTCCGCCACCAGCGCCTGGATGTGCGGGGGAAGGGGAAAGGGGGGGAGGGAAGGGGTTTTAGGAGGGAAGGGGGAAGGTGAAGTGGGGAGGGGGTGGGAGGCAGGAGAGGGCTTCAGCGCTGCTGCCGGCGCTACAGCCGCCAGAGCGGCGCATACCCCACTCGCGGTCTCACCTCCTCGTCTGTTTTGAGCACAGGAGACGGCGCGACCAGCGCCGGCAGGCTGTAGAGCGCGACGCGCGCGCCCGCTACAACCGCCAGCGTGAGCTCGTCCGCCGCCAGCGCTACAGCCGTGATGCCGTCCTGGCGGTAGCGCCGCACGGCTGTAGCGCCGGCATAGAGCGGCGCGTCGAGGAATGTGTCGCCCGCCTCGGCGCGGCGTTTGTAGCCCATGGCGACGACGAGCAGATCGCGCGTGTGCGCCGCGTAGAAGCCTGCGACGACCAACGCGCGAAGCCGAATCGGCGGGGCGGGATGCGGTGGTGAGGGATGGGAAGGTGAGAAAATGGGAGCTGCAAGGAGGGATGGAAGCGAGGAGATACAATCAACATGACAAATACTTTTCATGAACGGCATGGGGAATGATTCACAGTCGACATAAAAACAATCATTAGATGCGGATAGCTGTGCGAGGCGAGGGAGCAGCGGGTGCGCCGCAAGTACCGCAAGCGCCGGCGAGCACGGAGACGCCGAACTTGTTGGAAACGGCCAGGCGAGACCCGCCGGGAGGCAGCGACAGCCCGTCCCCTCCGAACCCGCCGTTATCATCCTCGCCGTCGGATCCTGGCCGTCCATCGTCGCGCCGGCTCGCATCCTGCACGTCCTTGGCCGACGCGAGGCGGAATTCGACGCCGAGCTTCTTGAAGAAGATGTTGTCCACGCGCTCCGCCGGCACGCGGGTTGGCTCCATTAGTGCGATCGCGAGCGCATAGGATGACTGACTGCGTGAAGCGCGCCGATTAGACTCATCGCCTTGGGATTATGATCAGAAAACAGATCAGAGGAACAGAGGTGGAGATAGAGGTCAGGCTGGTGCGATAGTTTCTTCGGTTGAAATTGGTTGGTTGTGTCTTCTAATCTAAGGAATTTTCTCGACAACACCGCGTACAGAAGCAGGTGTTGTTCGCCCGTTAGGGTGCGTGTAAGGAATTTTCTCGGCATTCCTTACGGAGCCCGACTACATCGCGTACAGCAACAGCCGTTGTTCGCCCGTTACTGCTAACGGGGGTTCGCCGACTTCGCGCGCATTGTTTCACCAAACCTCGCACTGCTGGCCTGGCCGTGTCGGCCTACGCTTCGGGACTAGCCCGAGCCTCGCTCCAGCGTAGCACTAGCTAGCTCGCACACACCGCGTTACCGTTTGCATGTTTCGCATATACCGTAAACCCCCGTATATAAGACCCTAAGGTATTATGATAATCTGGCCTTAAAAAGTTGGGGGGTATAATTAAATGGTACATATTTTATAAGACCCGGGTCTTTTCAAATTGACTTCTATAAGTCTACTGTTTTGGAGCTCAAAGAAGTGAATTGGAATTGCTCCGTTTTTAGCACCTCCCAAATATACTCGAACTGGTCTCTTCCTGGGCCAAACCCACATCATCACGTACCCTATCTAAAAGCCTCCTCCCATTGGGCACAAACATCACTTGGTGTTGACATAAGCGAGAAGGGCACCGTTTGATGGGCCCGGCGTGCAGTGTCGCCTCGACCTGCACACCCCATGCACGCTTCGTGCGATCCTATAGGGCGGGAGCTTCAGACTCCCGTACTGTCGTCTGGCACGTCCTTGTTTTTGAGGGCTGACTTCACTTCCTCCTCCAGTTTCTTCCCCCCTTACTGTGCTCGGCTGGCTGCCATCTAAAAGATGGTTGCCTGTTCCTTTTTCACCTCGAAGCTAGCAGCCACTTCATCCCCACTTTAGCCGCCATGGTGACATCACCAGATGCTGGGACGTCCGATGCTCGACGCGGGCGCCGCAAGAAAGTTCAGAAGCCTCCTGTTCTTAGGCCTTCGCCCAGGCCCGTCATGCCAACGCCAAGTTCCTCTAGCAGCGATGAGACAGATAAGGAGCCCAGCGGGAGCCCACGCCGTCCGCTTCCGCAGGTGAAGGTTCCCGTATTTCCGGAAGCAAGCCGACCGCGGGGACAGAAGAAGCGGGTGCGTGACGCAGAGACGCCGGAGACAAGGCGCCGACGAACGGAGAAGAAGCGGAAAGCTTACACCGTCAAGGAGAAGCTTTACTGGCTCAAGATGCTTGACGCGCAGCCCCCTATGAGCGTCCGAGGTTTGGCCAAGCTCGCCAAAGTCCAGCCGAAGCAGATCCGCGACTGGCGCAACTTGAAGGAGCGGCTCGACAAAGCGGCAGGGTGTCGCCAACGTCTCACTGGTGCTGGACGAAAGCCAAAGTACCCCGATATGGAGGTTGCGGTTTACCGCAGGTTCCTGTCGCACCGTGGGAGAGGCTTGCCGGTTTCCGTGAGTCTGCTGCAGACGTGGGCGGCGACTTACATGAAGCATCGCCACCCCCAGGCGAAGTGGTGTTCGTCCCACCGTTGGACTAAGAGGTTCCGCAGGCGGTGGTCCCTCGCGCAGCGCGTGAAAACAAAGATTGGGCAGAAGCTAGCTGCAGGTACCATGACCTCGGCCTTTCCGAAGTTTTCAGATGTAAATTCCTACCATAACCACCTGGCCTGACTCCTCCTTATCCCGTGCGATGCAGATTGCAAGCAGAGGTGCGAGGCCTTCTGGGAATTCGTGAGGCAGATGCGCGTGCTCAACTCCTACCCCTTCAACCTGATCGTGAACGCGGATCAGACACCCCTGTTCCTTGAGATGCCTGCCGAGCGCACCCTCGAGATGAAAGGCGCTCGGACCGTGCACGTGCGCACCGCGGGGTACGAGAAGCAGCGCGTCATGGTCATGCTGGCGGTGACCGCGGGCTGCTTGAAGCTCCCTCCGTATGTGGTCTTCAAGCGGAAGACCTTGCCGAAGATCCCCATACCCCGAGGTGAGTTGTGACTTACCGGATGTTCTGGTGAAGGGAATTGCACCGCTAATCTTTCTTTTTCGTTGTGCAGGTGTTGTCGTGCGAGCCCAGGAAAAGGGCTGGATGGACGAGAACCTTGTCCAAGACTGGACAACGAAGGTTCTCGTCCCCTTCTTGAAGCCGCACCGTGAAGCGGAAGGGCAGCGCAAGGACGCGCTCCTCATCCTCGACTCCTACCGAGGGCACACCACGGAAGCAGTCGGCCAGACGATGAAGCTCTTCAAGCTCACGCGCGCGGTGATCCCTGGCGGTTGCACCTCGCTGGTGCAACCCCTGGACGTTTCGGTGAACCGCAGCTTCAAGGCCGGGGTTCGCCACCGATACTCCACGTGGTTCCAAGATGAGGGCATTGAGTCTTTCACCCCTGCAGGTAAGCACGTGAGTTGTATCCGTTTCACAGTGTGCCTTGACTGTTTGGTGACTCACGTCTACCCCTACCCGTGCCATTTCCCGCAGGGAATTTAAAGAAACCTCCCCCAGAGAAGGTTCTCTGCTGGATTGCGGAGGCCTGGGCCGACGTCCCAGAAGAATTGATCAAGAAATCTTTCGTGACCTGCGGCATCGCCACCGCCGTCGACGGAAGCGAGGATCATCTGATCCTCGCTCACCTCCGCGATAAGGCGGAGGTGGAGGTGCTGGAGGATGTGTGCGAGGAGGATCTTGAGGAGCTCGTCCCCAACCCGTTCTATCCTGACCCTGCTGCCCCTTCGAGCAAGGACAAGGATGCTGCCTCCTCTTCAGCTGAGGAGGAGGAGGAGGAGGAGGAGGAGGAGGAGGAGGAGGAGGAGGAGGAGGAGGACACGGACGAGGAGGAGGGGGACGAGGAGGACGAGGAGGGTGAGGAGGGTGAGGAGGAAGGCGGTGCAGAGGTGGAGGGTGGAGCGGGTGAGGAGGAGGATGATGGCGATGAGTGGTGGGCAGAAGGGCGATATGAGGGGGAGGAGGTGGAGATCTGGGTTGCTGGAGAGGATTAGGCTGATAATTGGCCTGTGCATGCGCGTTCATGTGTGTGATGTCTGTACCTGAACATGGAATAGGACCATTTTCCATTGCATTCGCTGAAAATACACACTTCTCTAGGATGTGGGGGGTCTTATAATGTCAGGAGCCATTTAGGGGGGTATAACTCGGATAGACTCGAATAGAGTACCCCCCTCCGTATTATGGACCCGGGGGTCTACAACTGGAGGGGGTCCTATATACGGGGGTTTACGGTAAATGTTCGCTCATGCCTTCGCTCACATTTTGTACTCGTTTGACACCTTAGTGCAATTCTCGCTACTTCGATTCATTGCACCCGTAACACTTGGTATTCAGAGCCCCTTTCTTTCGGACCGCGCATCTCCGCACCCCAGGAAATCAACTTTTGATTTTTCACTCGAAGGGACTCACGTACCTTAGCACCTAGGAGCCGCTGTCCTCGCGTTCTCTCGTAAACGCGTGCAGCCACGACTGCGCCTAGACTAAGACGAGCCGACGCCCTTCGAAATGGCTGAACATATCGACGTCACGACTCTCACGCAGGAGCACTTGAACGATCTGCTGCGACAAATCCGCGAGAGCGCCGAGGAAATCGCGACGCTGACGGCAGAACGCTCGTCCCTGCAAAACGACCTCACACGGGCACAATCCCAAGCACCTGGCACTCCGATTCAGCCCGCATCACAGACATCACAGCACGGAAGTGTGGGGCAACCCGCGAGCGCCGCAAGTGATGGCGTCGTCCGCCATGACGGAGACGACGACCACGGCACGACACACCCCGACGCGACGAATGCGGCCAGGACTCAACCTCGAGTCACGATTTCAGTGCCGGCCGGCGAATCAACTCTTCCGTCGCCGATGCCGCTAAAGCCGCAGCGTCCGCCATGCTTTGACCCAAGTCAGCGGGGTGGTCCTACCGTTCAGGCGTGGCTCTTCACGTTGAACGTCTTCTTCGACGCGAACTACGTCTCGGAGGATACGGCGAAGATTCGCTACGCCGTGTCGTTGCTGCGAGGACCCGCCATGGACTGGTGGCGCGTCATCGTCACGAAGCCGGTGGACTACGCGACTCTACCGACACGAGAAGGACAAACCGGACCCTGGGCGCCGTCGTATTTCGTGGAGGTGCCCCAGTATCGCACGTGGGACGCGTGGTGCGCAGGTCTACGCGCTCGTTTCGAGCCAATCGCGGCTTCGATCGCGGCGCGACAGAAGCTCCGCACTTGGCGCCAACTTGGTTCCGTCCAAGATTACACGAGCGGATTTCTGGCGCTATGCGAGCATGTGGGATATATGGACGAGAGCGAGCGCATCGACCGCTACATCGGCGGCCTGAAGCAGGACATCGCTCAGGAAATCCAGCTCCGCGGCGTCACCGACTTTCAAGAAATTCTCGCCATGGCGGAGAAACTTGATTTCTTCCGCCGACCGAGACCGGGGTCCTACGGAAGCAGCCACTGGGGACATCGGCCTCGTGGGACGAACGAGGGCGCCACGATACGTGCCGTCGCCGCAAATGCCGCTGCCGCACCGTTCAAAGGGCGCTGCTTTGCGTGCAATCGGCTGGGACATCGCAAGAGCGAATGCCCGGAAAACGCTAAGGGGAAGGGGGAAGCTGAGAAGCAGAAACAGACCAAGCAGCAGGGAAACGCTGGGAGTCAGTAGCAGACGGGCCCTCTACTGACAGGTCACGCCGCTCGCCCGACCCAACCGACCCTCACCGAGTGATTGTGCCGGTTCACGCAATCGACCACACTCGGCCGAATAAGGAGGGGACTACGGTAGACAGCCCCATACTGCTTAGTGGGAAAATCGGGATGGACTTAGTTAAAATCTTCGTAGACGGGGGAGCCAGCCACAACCTCATCAACACCGCTACAGCACGAAAACTGCGACTGCCACTGGACAGATGTTTACCTGAGATCGACGCACGACTGGTAGACGGCACGCCGCTGGCGATACGGGAACGCGTAGACCGGGTTCGGATTCGATGTGGGGGTAACTTCACGTTTAGCCAGGAAATGCTCGCAACGACCCTCGACGGAACCGATATTTTACTCGGGCGTGATTGGTTGCGACGACACAATCCGCGAATCGACTGGACGACGGGTGACTGCACCGTGCGAGTGAACGGTAACAACATCGCCTTACCTCGCTGGGGCTCGCCTGAGTCTTCGTCGGTGCGTGTCAACGCGATCACGATGAAACGCGCCGTAGCGGAAGGAGCTGACGTGTACGCGGTCGACATTCGGGAAGCTGAGGCAGCAGACAAAGGAGGGGATTTACGGAAACTGCTGGCCGACGTACCGAGTGACCTGGCAGCACTGTTGAAGCAGTACAGCGACATTTTCCCGAACGATTTACCGACGGGACTGCCACCTCAGCGACCGCACGACCACAGGATAGAGTTAGAACGGGGGGCACAGCCAACAGTACAGCGACAGTTCCGACTGACCCAGCCCGAACTGGACGAACTGAGGAAGCAGCTCGATTACCTGCTCGAGAAGGAATTCATTCGCCCTAGTTCGTCGCCCTTCGCAGCACCGATACTGTTCACATCGAAAAAAGACGGGGGATTTCGCATGTGCATATATTACAGAGCACTGAACAGGGTTACCATCAAATCCCGTTACCCCATCCCGCGAGCCGATGAACTGATCGACCAACTGCGCACAGCCCGGGTTTTCTCGAAAATCGACCTCCGAGGGGGTTACCACCAGATTCGCGTCAACCCGCCCGACTGCCCTAAGACCGCATTTTGCACACGCTACGGATCCTTCGAATACACCGTCATGCCCTTCGGACTGACCAACGCCCCCGCCACCTTTCAAATGACCATGAACGAAGCTTTCCGCCCACTCTTAGATAAGTGCGTCATAGTATACCTGGACGACATACTGATTTACAGCCCTGACAGAGCACAGCACTTACAGGACATCGAAGCAGTTTTTAAAATCCTGAGTGAGAACCGCGTACTGACAAAAGCGTCTAAGTGTGAGTTTTTACAGGACCGCCTGGAGTTTTTGGGACACGTTATTTCAGCTGCAGGAGTGGAAATAGACCCGAAGAAAATTGCGACGATTCAAGCATGGCACGCGCCAACCAAATTGACCGAGTTGCAGAGTTTTTTGGGGTTCGTCCCCGACATGGCGAAGCTGACTGCCCCATTGACTGACCTGCTGAGGAAGGGGGTTGAGTACACGTGGGGGGAGAAAGAGCAAGCTGCCTTCTCGGCCCTCAAAACATTTTGTGCTCACCGCCCGTGCTTCACATCGCAGATCCACACCGTCCGTTCGAGCTCGTCACTGACGCAAGTGACATCGCTCTGGGAGCAGTACTGTTGCAGGATTTCGGGAACGGCCTCCAGCCAATCGCGTACGAGTCCCGCAAGCTGCACCCGCCCGAACGCAATTACCCGATACACGACCGCGAAATGTTGGCGATCGTGCACGCGTTCACGGTTTGGCGGTGTTACCTGACTGGCGCCGACGTGACAGTACGGACAGACCACCGATCACTACAGTACTTACGCGCCCAACCGAATCTCAATCCACGACAGATTCGCTGGTTGGACTACCTCGAGTCCAACTTCCACTACACGGTTACGTACAAGAAAGGCGCATCCAACATCGCCGACGCACTCACCCGCCCTACCGCCCAACTCCACGCCATCCTACTCGCCCAGACCAACACACTTTTAACAGGCCTATTTACCCACGGATACCGCACTGACCCATTCTTCACGACCGGAAATTCACAGCAACTGGCAGAAGCTAAAGGAGTTTATTACGTAAAAACAGGCACCAACCGCATCTGGGTACCCGCGTACTCACTACTGAGGGAGCTACTACTGCAGGAGGCACACGACGGAATCACCTCGGGACATTTTGGGGTAGAAAAAACGCGACAGCAACTGCAGCGGTATTACTACTGGCCGGAGCTGTTGACCGACGTGCAGCAGCACATGGGCTCGTGCCCCACGTGTCAGGTGATGAAGAGCTCAAGGAAGCGGAAGGCGGGTCAATTGCAGCCGATACCACCGCCCGAGCGCGCCTGGCAGCAGGTTACCATGGACTTCGTCACAGGGTTACCTTCGAACCCTGGGGGTAACGACGCGGTGATGGTCGTCGTTGACAGGTTGACGAAGATGGCACACTTCGCTGCGTGCAAAAAGTCGATCTCAGCCGAGGAGACCGTTCGTCTGTTCATCGCAGCCGTTGTTCGCCTGCACGGGATACCAGCAGCGATTATCAGCGACAGGGACACGAAGTTCACCAGCAACTTCTGGAAGAACCTCTGGGAGCAGTTCGGAACCAGGCTGCAGTTCAGTTCGTCGTACCACCCCGAGACCGACGGTCAAACGGAGCGGACGAATCAGACGATGGAGCAGTTGATCCGTGCCACGTGCGACGATCCCACGACTGATCGAGTTCGTGTACAACAATGCCACGTCAGCGACAACGCAGCAGTCCCCTTTCTACCTGAACTACGGGCAAAACCCTACAGTGCCCATGACGCCGACTCCGGACAACCCAACACCACGTGCACAGCAATTCGCCGAAATTCTGCAAGCTGCCCGCACCAGAGCCGCAGAAGCAATTAAAAAAGCGAACGTCATTGCTAAGCGCAACGCTGACCGCCACCGCCGCCCAGTCACATACCAGTCAGGGGATTACGTACTGCTCGACACGCAAAATATGCGACTGCCCGACATACCAAAACTGTGAAATAACGAGGAATGAATGAACTAAGGGAAAGTTGGGTACAAAAGCAAACCCTAGAAAACTGTACCCCATATGTGCTACCCCACTATAGCCTACAGTAGCTATGTCATATAAATCTGACACACCCCCATAGGCAAAGTGGGGGAGAACAAGGGGTCGCAAGACCAGTCAAGCAAAGCAAAGCAAGCTCAGGGTGGATCACAAAGTCACCACACATTCCGAGCACAAGTTCAAGGCCACAAGGCCAGTTCACATGCAGGATTGCA